GGGGCGGCGCTGCGCGGCCGCCCCCGGGGAGTTTCCAGCGGGCGGCGGTGGCGGCGCGGGGCAGCGCAGCGGCAGGTGAGGTGCGCGCGGGGCGAGAAAACGGGCAAAATTCACAAAATTGCCCCTTTTTCCCTCATGTCTGTCCGCCTGTTCGGAGCAGGTTAGGCTTCTTTATGGAGCTGCTAAAATATAGGTGCTCCTGCTGGACCTGTGGTGTCCGAGGCGGGAGATGGAGATCCACGGGCTTCAGGAGGCACCTTGTTGCCAACAGCCTCTCCAGCAGCAGGGGCTTCACTGCTCAAATCGTTTAGTCTCTTGCACCCTCTCTCCCCTACCTTAACTGACCCTCTTTCTGCAAAGAGGGCAGCAGTGACTTGGGTTCTGTTGGCGCTGTCAGCATCAGAAGTTCTCTCCTCTGGAGAGAAGATGTGGAAATTGAAGTTGTTGGAATTTGTGGTTACTGAACAGGCGTTATTTTAAAAGGGATTCTGCTCTTCAAGATCTGTCAATACTGTTTTGTTTTTGTTTTGTTTTGTTTTGTTTTCCCTTAAAAGCAGTACGTATTTTTGTCATGACTACTGGTTAACTGCCTGCAATCAGACCAAAAAATTATCTAATACAAGAAATCCTTATATAGGTACATGACTGTACTGAGCCAGTCTGTGCAGATTTTTCCCTTTTTTTTTTTTTTTTACTCCTGACGCAGAAAAGAAACAAAACAAGTCCTGCAGGAGCTCAGAGGAATGAGCTATCCAGTTAACCTCATGCCCTGTAATATGGCCTATAAAGATATTTTCAAGTAATGGTCTTCTCAGAAAAAGGCTTTCAGGGAAAAGCTGCTCATGACAAACAGAGAAAGAACCTCTTTGCGTGCGAACTGCTCATGTGATGATGTTGAAATAGTGACAGAGGTGGAGAAAGAATCTTGTGCTTTATCGACTGATTTAAGTGCTTACTCTTCTTTTCTCCCTGCACATTAAAGCAATTTTCTTGTTATTTTTTCATTAAAGACTTAAGTAAAACATAGTTAGTGACGTAAATTGTTCAATCACTTTGGTTGTGTAGAGTGATTTAGAGCACTATTTAAGTGCTCAGAACAGATGCTTGTGCAGAAGTCTAGGGAGGAAAGAGAGGATGAGTTCACTGCTGGCGAATGGGTGATCTTTGCCAGTGGTGTAGATGTGATCCATAAGTTGCTGCACAATTTTTTAAAAAATGATCAGCTTTATAGGGTCTAGAAACTATTCTCACTACGTAAGCATGTTGTATTTGGAACTTACTAGATACAGGTAAAATGAAGCTGTTTTAGAGTGCTGGAGGCATGGAACTGGGAAGAGGGTGGTTATAATCACTTTCTTCTAATTATTCAGACTTTTGTGTGTAGCAGTGCAATCGTTGAACGTAGTAATGTGCTGCAGTTTTGGGACGTTTTGAGGAGCAGTGCAGAGCTGGAGTGTATGGAAAGCTGCATCTCTTCTAAACTGTGCGATTTTCTTATGCGTGGGGAAAAAAACGAGTTACTATAAGCTCGTCAGTGACTTGTCGATGTCCAAGAAGGTCTAAAACTTCTGCAGGCTTGTACTGCTTTTCAGAAAGTCCCTGGGACTTGTTTCTAACTTGCTTTACTCTTCATGTGCAGTCTCTTAGTTCCTCTTATGACTGGACGGAGCGTTTCTTTTTCTCGCCGCCCCCATCAAGTGAGCACCAAAAAGCGGTGAATACAAGTCTTGCTATGGGGAAAGATAAAATCTCCCACTCTCAGGTTGCTCCAGCAGCCTCTAGTAGAGCATGAATGTGGGATGCTGCGGGTTAGAAAACACCCTTCACTTCTGTTATTTCTTGCTGTCTAGGTTAAAGCTGAACCTGACCCTTTTCGCCACCCCTGATACAAAATCTGCTGCTTTAGTGCTGATGACCACAAGTTTTCCTCTCCGCACTCCCCTAATGCGGGGGTGTTGTTGCGCTTGCTTGGCACCGGGCCTCGGGGTGTGCAGGAGTGCTGGGGAGGCTCACTAGCTGTGCGTGTGCAGGAGGAAGGGCGCGTGGAGCTGCCCAGGGCTCGGCAGGAGGCACCACGAACCCAGGATACCCGGGGTGCTCGGCCCCGTCGCGTGCCAGGGCGGCCGTTTTCCTGCTCTGCCTTCCGAGTGCGCAGCCCGAGTGCCGGTGCCAAGGCGGCCGCGTCATTTTACTCCGTTTTCTTCGACGCGAGAGCTGACGTAAATACTCTCTAACCCATGGGAAATATGCACCACAGAGCTGCGGTGTCCTCGCGCGCAGGGGAGGGCGATAGCGATCAGAGCGGAGACAGCGCCTAGGTAAAGGGCGCTGCTTCGGGGCCCCGTGTGCCACTCTGCTGCTTGTCCCTGAGATACAGAGGTTGCGCTTCGTTCTTTTTATTTCCTTTTTTTCTTTTATTTTTTAATCTCTTTTTTTCTCCTTTTTGCTAACTGTTGCCCTAAAGAGGTGTTTGCAGTGGATTATGAAAATGGGAAATGAGAGCTCTGTAAATAGAATGGGTTTTACTCATCTCTGCTAGAGGAGAAGAAGATTCTTCTTAGTTCCTTGCAAGACATCAGGCAGAAAGAATAAAACTCAGAAGCTTCCTATGGAAAACTTATTTTTCAGCACTACTTGGAAAACCAGATGATCGTGCAGCAGCTTGACTCGTTTGAGCTGTCTTTTTTTCTTCCTGCAAAAATCCCCTATTATCTCAGCATTGTGATTACTAGTTTTTCTTTCCATGAAGCCTGTGAAGCAAATGATCGTATGAGTAGAGACCAGTCCATCTGCCTGAGAACCTCTGCCATTGCTTTACTTTGTTTTGCTTTTTTAATAGACTGCTACCGCATGCTGTGAAATTATCATCACTGCTAAATACGGCTGCAAGACACGTGACAACTTGAGGGACTATGTTGAGGCATTTTTGATGTTTTTGTGTGATGTAACTGGAATAAATATAAGGTAAGCATTCATTGAAATTTGCGTGTTGAAAACTATTTGTGTAAGTATTTTAATGACTGTGCATATATGATTTTAACGTGAATACAAAAACTCTCCCTGGCTCATGTTAGGAACCTGGGATGGGTGGGAACTGCGTGGGACAAGAAATCCAGTTTGCTGTCATTAAAGTCCCCTTCAGTAAAATGCTCAAGATCTATCTTAAAAGTTATTGTTTGAAATAGTAAGGGCAGAACAAGCTGGTGGAAACTGCTACAAAAGCTCATTGCTCTTATGATGCATCAGTTCCTGATCATCTTCTTAATTGGATGAAAATTTCAGCTGAAATCCAGTTCTGGACTATAATGATGCCCCAAAATGGGTGGTGTGTTTCAGCTGGTGACTTCCTCGTGCATGGTACAATGATACTAAGTGTTCTTTTTGCTGTTCTAATGCTCTTGCTCCATGAGTTTCTCCTCTTTGTGGACACATTAAGTTGCTGAAGGACATTTGGGGTTAAACTTCTATAAAACACTTTTCTCTCCCATCCATTTCAAAATGATGAATCCATCTTTAAAGTTGATTAGTTTGTAAGGATATGAAACGTGTGTGTGTGTATATATATATATGTTTGTCCTATTCTATTGCTTTCTATAAAGTCTCACCTGAATGACAGATAATTCCTATTTTTTGCATAATCTAGCAAGATGTGCCTAGTTCATGCTTCCTTCTTATGCCAGCACCTCTAATGAAAATCCCTGATAAAGAAAACTTCAAGAGTGAATGATTGGAAATGTTCACAAAAGCTTTCAAACAAAATTCCTCTAATAAAGACTTTGTTTTTTTTCTATCTCCTCTTCACCCATGTTACTAATCATGCCTTTTTTTTTCTCGTAATACAAGATACTCAGTTTAAATTTAACTATATAATGACAAGCTTTCATTCTTGCTTTGCTGAAACAACTTTAGACGAAGAGATTTCAGGTTTGTTTGTTTCTTTTTTTCAGGAGTGGTTTTGCAAAGTGGACAGTAATGGAGTATATGAGCACTGGTAGTGATAGCAAAGACGAAATTGAGTTGTTGCTAACTAATTTAAATATGTCTGAGGTGATAGACATCATGGAAAACCTTTATCCAGATGGGGACCTCGCAGTTTATGAAGACAGCATAATAACAATGTGTGAAGAGGTGAATCAAAATGAAGAACGTGCAGAATCTTTACTGTTTTGTGAAAGGGAAGTTTCGCTCATGTCATGTGTCAAATACGGGACTGTGGAAGACTTGCTTGCTTTTGCAAATCAGGTGTCTGACACTGCGAAACAACGTAAAGGATGTCGACAGCAAGAATCTGGAATCCTCTTGAATATGGTATGTCTCCTTTTAATTTTTTTTTTAAGTTATTTATTGTTAGTTGATACAAGTGGTTGATGAATCTAAATAAAGATCAGCCTTAGGAGACACAGTCAGAACATCACTCCCTGCAGGAACATGAGGCTGGAGGGCATCTCTGAGGCTGTCAATCTTGCCGCAGTAATCTCAGGGACTCATGGAAAAAAAGGTCTTTTGTTTAGAAGGATCCACAGTGCTTTTGCTTCTCAGTACTCCTGGAGATTAGAAGACACAGTCCAACATGGAAGGCATACTTGAGACACACAGTAGAAGAGAGGAAGGCACAGTTGTAACGTCATACAGGAAGGACTGGGGAGATGATAAGGGTTTTTCCAATGCCTTGTGTCCATCCAATAACAGTCTGTTACGCAAAACTCTCAAGTAAAAGGTTAGGATCTGTTTTAGTAGAATTGCTGAATTTGCTCATTCTCTCTGGACAAAATGTTGTAAAACGTGGTAATACAAAAATAAATGATGTATAGTATCGACTGTATGTCAAAATTACTCTCAAGATTGCTATATTATATAACATACATTGCAACCTACTAGCACAGTTATGTTGAGATTTTTTTTTCCCCGAAATGTTTTGTGTTCTACAAGCATCCATAGAAATGAATGCCATTGTGCTACTGTTGAAAATCAGCTGCTTTGGAAACAAAACATCATGAAATGGAAGTTTGTGCTAAAACCTTTGTCCTGCAGTTTTAGTTTCTTAATATAGTCTAAATCTGTTATGTCAGAAATCTTCTATGGAATATGGTTTTTATATGAGCATTGGTTCCTTATTAGGCTTACTGTTTACTCAGATGTGAAATATCAGAGTGTTGTTTTATTCTGACTTGCAGGGAGTGTTGCAGCATTGCAAAACAGTCACTTTTTAAACTCTGTAACGCTGAAGTGACAATTACTAACATTAAATGCTTTCCATACTTGGGACAGACACTGTTCTACATACTCGTGGTTGTTTTGCTTGCATACTGCTTCTATGGATGCATACAACTGGTATGAACCAAGTGTTATTAGGTGCACGTGACCCATTGGGCAACTGAGGATTGGAGGCAGGGCATTACTTTTAAATGCATCCCAGCGAATGCACCAGCGCTGTAAATATCTATAGCATTTATTTGGGATCTAGTGTGTGTTTCTTATTGCCTGCTGACCCCTCTGACCTTGCTGCAGCTCACATCTGAAAGATGCTTGAACACACCAGCTGTATTTGGTTGAAACTAAGCTGGGAGATGCTCTGCAGCCACCAGTGAGCATTTGCTTTCACAACACTAGGAGCTTTCAGGCTAGAAGCTAGTCCAAGGTAAACTCCTGAAATGTGAGCAGGATGACACTGGTGGCTCTTTTTCACTCCGCAGTCCGTGCAGATCTGTCCATATCATTTACCAAGCGGCTCAGCTGCTCTCAGCCCTTTGAGACACAGAGGCTTGCAGGAAAGATGCACGGGTTGTTACAGGGTTCACCTGGGCTCTGGTCATGAGATGGGAGGCTCTTGGCAAAATACTTTTACTAAAATACAGCACCCGTCCCGGCTCTTAACAGTTTAGAGTTTCTGAGAATTAACTTTCTTATTTAGATACTAATCATAAATGATGCTTTTAGTTGTCAAATATTTTCCTAATTGAAAAACACGAAGGTGATTAAAGCACAGGGAGATTATGTGCATGATGTCTTAGAAAGAAACCTAGAAACAGCAATTAAACCTTCTAATATTAGGAAGGAGCTGAAGAGGTGAGACGGTGGGAAGACCTGGAGTTATAAAAATCCTTGATCTGTATTTACATATCTAGAAGTGAAGATTTTTGATCGAGTAGCAGTAAAGAGGTTAACAGTATTGGGGGTACTGGTATATCTCTGAAGTAATTAGAAGATTAGAAACACAGTTGCAAGAAATGTTATTCTTGTGATTTTCTAAGATGTAAGTTATTAAACCTAAAGCAGTGGTAACATTGCAGAGCTTGGTTTCTCTCTGCAATGCACGGAGGGAAGGGGCTGTTTTAGAGCAAGAGCCTCACTCGGGTGCTTCGGGTCGTGTTCTGGAGGAGCCTGTTGACAATACGGAGACCCGAACTCCTCACACTGCCTGCCTAAGGCAGGCAGGGACTGTGACTGCTGCTCTTCTCCTGAGCTAAGCAGGGCAGCTGCTGAAATCCAAGCAGGCTTCTTTGGTTGGGCAGCAGACATCCTGGTACGAGATGGACAGCCTGTACCCCAGGAGTACATGCGATATTAGGAAATGCTGAAACTCTTGCTCACGTTGTGCACGATAGCCTGTGAGTAACAGGCATGTGGCATAACAAGTTAGCAGATTACAGGAAGAACAAACATGTGCAGGTAAACCTAATAACAAGAGGTGGGTAATTTCATTAACCCTGCTGCTGTTGTTGTTGTTTCAAGACAATTAATTGCAACTTACACTTGGCCAGCTAAGTCACTGGAGAGAAACGTGGATGCCTGTGCTCTGAATGGAAGCCACACCTCACATGCTGTTCCCATTTGCTGTTTCTAAATAAAGACCACTGAGCAGAGCACGTGCATCGGGCACATATATGAGTGATTTTTTTTTTCACTATGTGTATCAAATTAGCACTGAAGTAGCTTTAACTTCAGTGTGTTCAGTGTTTTGTTTCTTTCTTTTTACTTTCTAGATTACACCCAAGAATGGGCGCTATCAAATTGACTCTGACGTGCTGCTTTTTCCATGGAAGCTGACTTACCGGAATATTGGCTCTGACTTTATTCCTCGGGGAGCTTTTGGGAAGGTGTATCTAGCCCAAGACAGAGAAACCAAAAAACGAATGGCATGCAAGCTGGTATGTGAGTTCAGTGCCTTTATCTCTGAGCAAACATTGTACAACACAGTGCACGCGGCGAGTTTGGAAACTTGTCAGCACTGAATTCTGTTGTTAGCTGGTTATCACCATTGCTTTATTGGCCAACCACGACCAGTAAAGGGAGGAAAAATGTGCTACAATGCTACAATTAATGCTTTTTTTTTTTAATTGTTAATTTGTTTTCATAGTTTGGATCGGAGACTTCAAAAGTTTCCGCACACTGACTGTAGCTGGAAGTGCCTGTAGTTGCTCAGGGGCAGCTCTGGGGGACAGTCCCTGCAGTACTTGCTGTGGGGGAACATTGGCCTGAAATCCTGTCCCCGCCGAAGCTGGTAATAAAACACTGTTGCTGCAGTTGGTTTTAGGATCTCATCCTCCAAAATTAAGTTTTAATAATTGTCATTCAAGTCCCTGAGAGCTCAGCTCACAGACAGGTCTCCTCCTGTCTTGGGCCCCAGCCAAGCAGAAGGCTGTGAGGTGCCTGAGGAGGATTGCTGAGCACCCCCCTCTTCTCTGCATTTTGTTCAGTCCTTTATTCCATGTGCCATATTTGAATTTAGGGCTAGCAAAAGCTCAGCCTTCGAACAGTGCTCAATATTGCAGCACATGGGAGCAAGTATTTGCTTTCATTCTGTACAAAAGAGCTAGGGGGGCAGCTGTAGGTCCTTTTTCTCCTGCACCAGCATATCCACATGGATGTGGGCATATCCACAGATGCAGCCTGCTGCTGCTGCTTGTCATACCACAGAGTTAAAGCTTCCTCATGCTTCTAGGAATACCAACAGTATTTTTCATTAGTTATGGTATTAAACTCTTACCTGGTTCACAACCACAAGTCTGAGGAGAGGGAAGTAGGAAGCATGGTCAGTAACCTTTCTGCTGCAAGCAGACACTTCCTGCTCTTGCTCTGTTTTCCACCAGCACTTTTTAAAGAAGCATTGCCGAGTGCTTCTTTAAAAGCAAACTTCATGTAGCCCATAAAGCAGTGTTGATCAGGAGTTAACTAAGGTTGCCAAAAGCCCTGAGCACAGTCTGCAGACTGTGCTGAGCATTTCTTTACTGCAAGTACTGTTCCACGTGCCAAATGTGTGTGTTGTTCTCGTGAAGCAGATGAGACACACAAAGCTCATTGGAAAAGCAGTGGGATTTTTATCTCCTTCACCAGGAAGTTTGCACAGAGCTTTTGCGTAACCACCAGATTTTGACGGGAATAGCAGTTGCTACATTGCTTTTTCTGGAAGACTGTACTTTTTCTTCGGGCAGGATTCCAAAACCTCTCCCAACTTTAAACAGGACGTATCTGAACTGGAAAGGAAGGACTAGTCACAAGATCAAAATTAAGCTTCATATTTTAACACATGGATAGAGGTGCTTTGCTTCATTATCCCATTTTAGCATATAGGATAACTAGTATTAGTGCAAATAACCTGTCTTTGGAGTTGCTTTCATGTGGTTTTGTTTCAATGTCGTAGGTCCCAGTGGAGCAGTTCAAACCATCAGATGTTGAAATACAGGCCTGTTTCCGTCATGAAAACATTGCTGAATTATACGGTGCTGTTCTGTGGGATGAAACTATCCATCTGTTTATGGAAGCTGGAGAGGGAGGATCTGTCATGGAAAAGCTGGAGAGTTGTGGGCCCATGAGAGAGTTCGAAATCATCTGGGTGACAAAGCATATCTTGAAAGGACTTGACTTTCTCCACTCCAAGAGGATTATCCACCACGATATCAAACGTACGTGTTTTATTCCCGGGGTGTCCCATCTTAGGCTGGAGCTGCAGGAGTGGTTCTGGTACTGCAGTAGCTGTCTCATGGAGAGGGAAGCATGGAGAAATGGGGAGCTGGTCAACAAACAACATGAGATTCTTGGGATAACAGTCTTTTACGCTTTCTATAAGTTCTGTTTGGAACTAATGTCACTTGGAAAACACAGCTCCTTTGTTTTCCTGTCTCTTAGGACGATCTTGGGGAGTTTCCCAAGGTGGGTTCCCATGAGGGCTGCAGGGTCAGGGTCGGCGGGTGCTGCGGACGCTGCCCCGAGTGCTCTGGGCTCTTAGTGGAGCCCCGAGCTCCTCCCTGCTCGCCTGCCATCGAGCATCCCCGCTCCCTTCCTGCCCGTGGCTTCTCCTCCTGAGGCTCCCTTCGGCTGACAGACAGGGATTTGAGGGATTTCAGCAAGAGAAGGATCTTCTTGAAACAGAGCAGGACTTTTGCTCTTATGGGCAGCTGAGACCTGTAGCTTATTTTAACAGTTCATCCAAGTGTTAAAATCATAAAGCTGTTTGGTGTGGGTAGGGGGAACCTGGCCCGAAGGGCATTGAAGTTTGCAGTAGCATATTCACTTGCTTAAGTGAGCTAGAATCAGCCTAGGGTATTTTCAAGCATGGCAAAAGCAAGAATTGCTGATTGTTGAGTTGCTTCAACAGAGCTGGCCCTGTCAGAGGTTTCAAGCTCCTTCTGTTTCCCAGACTGGAGCTAGAGCCAAGCACCATTTCAAATACACAGCAGGACCTGTTGCCTTTCCGACAGTGTTATCTTCTGTATCATCTTGCATATGGTGGCTAAAATTTGTAGTTCAAAGTTATGCCTAAAGTCACAAACTTATTTATATGATTTTATAGCACCTAGAGAACAAACTCATAACTAGGCAAGTACCTGAAAGATTATTTGGTGAAACAGGACAGCTGAAATCAAAGTCTGTTTTCCTTCCTCTATATGGTCATGGTGGCTTGCTTTTGCATGTTATGTTCTTGCTCACTTCTGGAAGAAAGTATTTTTCACAAATATATATGTGTTTTTTAAACGTAAAGGGCAGGTTTTCTGCATGGGTGCATACAACTAGACTGTAGGATGAAACTGAATGAAAATATTTAAATGGGAGATTTAAAAAAAAATCCCAAAGAAAAATTCATAAAAATTATAAATATCTGTCAAGACAAAGAATGATCCAACTCCACAGTCCGCTTTGGAAGGGAGTGTTTTATTTTTGTTGCATAACTAGGAGACTTTGTTTGTCCATGGCTTCCAGGACAGCAAACATCTGAATTTCTCAAGGCTTACATGGAGCATTATCTTTGCAAATCTTTGACTGGACAGAAGGCCTGTGAGCACAGAGTAGTGCTTAATGCAGAGATTTGTGAAGGAAAACAAACGAAGCCCCTAGATATTACTGGAACTCAGTGGGAGTTTGGAAGTCCCAGTCCTTATTACCTTCACAGCAGTATTCTGGCTTCGGCCTTTACACTGAGCCACAGCTGCTGATGTGTGCAAGAGCATGTGTGGATGCTGTGGAAAGGCTGGAGTTCTTATTTAGTTTTGTCTTTGTTTAAATTATCAATATAAAGAAGTCTCCTGGGTGACCGAGAATTACGCTTGCTCATAGCAAGACCCGTGCAGCATCCTGGCAACCTTGGAGGCCGTGAGGGATCATTGTAGCCAGGAGCAGGGCTAGATGTGCTATGTGAAAGGGTCTACCAGTCTTCCATCTTCCTCTCCTGCTCTCAGCATTTTTTTTTTCAAACAGCCTCACCTTCTTTTTTGTTGTTGTTAATTAGGAAAATGAGCAAACAGTGGTTCTCCTTTTACACAAGCCTGTTTGATTTCTGAGGTATAATTTATATAGAATGACTGTGTTGGCTGTAGGGATGCGTTGTGCTGATCTTCTGTTTCAGACTAACAACTAAATGAAATAGTCATGTTGTAAAAAACAAACAAACAAAAAATCCCAGGAGGCCAGAAGCTAAAATACTGTCATTTTTGCTTTTCTTTTAGCAAGCAACATTGTCTTTATGTCAACTAAGGCTGTTCTGGTGGATTTTGGCCTAAGCGTTCAAATGACTGAAGACATTTACTATCCCAAAGACCTTAGAGGAACAGAGGTAAGAAACTGGAGGGACTTTACTACAATTGCTGTGATGTTCAACCTCAAATTTGGAGCTAAAAGCTAGATGCTCAGGCAGAAGAGTTTTATAATAATTTATTTGAATGTTTGTTTTTAACTTTTTGATCACCTCAAGTTTTAATTTTCAACTTGCTGAATGGTGAATCGGGTGTTACATTCTGAACTGTACTAGCTTCCCAGCAGCCCCATGTATTAATGATCATTACATCTAGAGTCATGGAGGAACTGGGGATCCTCTCAAAGCAAAGGCAGGAGCAGCACTCTGGGAGGGCAGTTTGCAGGTAAGCAGCTGTTAGCTGAAGTCTCTCCTGCCCAGAATTAGGGTTTTTTTGCTCTATCAAAGTTGTCTTCCAAGATGTCAGATTTGGGCTTGGATGAGCAATCCATTATAGTAGTTTGACTCCTCCTTTGAAACCGTGGAAATTGCAAAGCTGTGGATGTTGTCCCTTAGCATTTCTAAGCTCTGTTTCCCATCTCTATGTGACCCTGCTGTCCTGTGGAGGTTGTGCACTGCACAGCTGGTGATTGCCTGACATCACAGAGATGGAGGGGAGGGCTGTGGTGCAGAGTCCCACACGCTGCTGGGGCTACTCTCCTGCAAAGAGTTTTCCAGGCTGGAGATGCAGCAATTAGTTTGGCTTGCTGCTGTGCTGCCTGTGCTTTCCTTTGCCACGGGAGGTTGGTTACAGGAAACATGTCAGTTGAAATGCTGCCACTTAACAATTTGATAGTGTTCCACAGTGGGGGCATGTGTTTGGAGGAGATACACTTATAACTGACAAGATAACATTCCTTGAAAGGGTAGGGTAATTTAAGGTTTCACAGAATGTCAGGCTTGTTCTTTGGTTTTAAAATTCTGAGGAAAATATTTGAGTGTTTGTTTTCACTGGCTTTCTAGTCAGAGGAGGAAAGAACTCAGACTGGTCACTGTGTTTGCTGTAGCACGCTGTCTGGCACTCGTGCTCTGGTTTTATGTGCTGTTAATGAGAATAAGCAAAATTATGGGAATGAGATGGAAGCCCTGGCAGGGAATTTCCCAAGGTTGGAGATGTGTGTAAATTTCCAGGAAAGAAAATTTCCACGTTTGTGGAGTGGACTAATAATGATCTATCCTTGACTTTCGGAGGGTAGGCCAAGGCCATGTTGGAGAGAGCAATTGCAAAACACACTTGGTCGTCAGTTAGCAGGAGGAAAGTGCCAACAGTCATGTCCTCAGAAAGGGGGCAGCCCACAGAGCCCTGCAAGTGGGCACGGGGCTTTGCCTTCTCTGCAGGCAGGGATGGTGCAGAGAGGTAGTCAATTCTCAGTATTTGCACTCCTGTATTTTTACTGCAGCATCCCAGCTCAGAAGTCATGTTGCGGAGAGAGAACTGGGAAAGGAGATTTTCAGATGTTATTTGAAGACTTTTAGGAACATCATGCAGGCTACACTATAGGTGTGTCTGCTCAGAAGCAGAGCCTCATCCCATGCTTCCTTCTGGACGTCTTCCTCTCCACAGTGCCTGTGTCTGCCTTTTGGAGAGCCTAATCTAGCCTTGTTAGTCTTTGTAGCGCTGTCTTTCTCTCCTGATTTTCAAAGTGGGATATTGGCTGCCAGACCAAGGTCCTCTGAGCTTTGCATCCTGCCTTTGCAGCCCCAAGAAGCGGTGCCGCTGCGGTGGTGACCGTCCCTGTTCGGGCCATATCCCTGCTGCTCAGAGTCATGCCCGTGAAATCCCTGGCTTGTCTTCTGTTTGATGCTGCCTGGGATGGGTTTCCATGAAGGAAATGACAGTAGGAGTTACATTTCTGCTATGCTTCCCTCCTTCCTTTGAGAGTTTGGGGTTTTCATTCACTCCTGTAGCAAGGAAGGGCTGAGCATGGTGAATCTACTTTGTGCTTATGAACGTGAACAGGTTGCAATGCTGCGTGATTGAAGGACAGTTGTTTTAGTTTGTGTAATATGAAAGAGCTGAAGAGCATATGTACAATGCACACAGTGCAGAAATGATACTTGTGATGAAAGTGCTCTGCAGGAAATGGCTTTTCAAGGCATTTCCTACACTTTCTGTTATGCTTTTGTCACTGATAAAATACATAAGCTTCCGTTACGAGTGTTGAAGGGGAAAAAGTTGCCCGCTGAGGTTAACCAAGTATTGAGGGCATGATTTTATTCCAAAAAGCTAAAGTAAGAAGAGCGCTAATTTTCCGCTGTGATTGTGTCTCCGGTCTGCCTGGTAGAAAAGGGCCAGCGGCAGCAGACGGGGAAGGAAGATGCGTGTGTCGGCCTGGCTGCCTGTCGTGGCAGCAGCACAGCCCCGGCTGAGTCTGAACGCAGCCCAAGTCACAGCCTCAGCGCATGGCTGATTTTCACTTCTCTTCCTGTGCAATCAAGGTGCATCTTGACTGTTTTCCCCAGTTTGACTGGAACTCCAGACACCTTCTTGTTTCATTGTTTTTCCTCAAAAAGGCAGCTCTTTTTTCTCTCTATAGTTAGTTTCACTGCAGTTGCGTTGTGTACACTAATAACTTTTATAAAAGGCAGAAATTTCCTTCTTTGCACACATTGCAGGTGCGGCCAGACTGTCTGTATCTTAATTTTGAGGAAGCCAATGAATAGGAGTAACTAGCAAACGTAGCTTCTGCTGACCCTGCCTATTTGGAGTTCTAGCTGCAGATACGATGTGTGATTTACTGGGAAATAGTTCTTGGAATTCGCATGAGCCCTACAGCTGCTCTCAATCTGTAATGATAAGTATTCAAATTATGTGGTGATGATTTAGCTTCCGCCCTGGTCTCACTTATTGGCTTATAATATGATTCCTTGTGGCAGGACAACTTGATCTGATCGTAGTTCTGTGCGGATCCTCTCGAGACAAATCAGCCAAGGGAAAAGTAGAAGCCAGAAGCAAATAGGGTGGCTAACTCGGTGTGTTGTGGGCTGTGCCGAGGTCGTGTTGAAACCTCCTGTCCTTGGCAGGGGTTGCAGTGGTGCCGTCCACGCAGCTTCTGCCAGCAGCAGGGAGTGTCTCCTGCATCCCGTCCGTCTGGTTCCCTCCGGCCTAAGCGCGGAGCTGCCCGGGAATTGCCTTGAATGCCTCTTCCAGGAGTTGGCAAATCTGACCTTCAGTGAAGTGTTTGGGTGGAAACCATAGCTTGGTTTAGACAATACTGGAATTTCTGGTCAAAAAAAAACGATTGGAGGGGGACACTTGCCTTAAGAGCTATTTCGACCTAGTAGGATGGGAACACAGGAAGACTTTATAGAGACCTGGTTTTGGGTGTATGTCCTGCCTGAGACCTGCCTTGTGCCTTGTTAGCCCGTTTCCTGGGGTCGTGCCCAGATGTGCAGTTTATTGGATATCGGGAGGAGAGGGAGAGAGCAAGAAGGACAGATGGACGTTTCTCTGTCACTTCTTCTGCCGCGTAGCAGTGCATGTAACGGAGACTCGTGCCGTGGGCTCCGACACCCTGAGCGAGTGACCAGCAGCGGAGACGTCCTCTGCCCTCAGGAGCCTCCATTCACTCACGCAGGAGGGAGCAGCTCCAGCGGGGCCCCACCACAAAGTAACCTGGCAATTTGGGCACCCCTAGTGCTCGGGAGCCTGTGAGGGGCTGGGCTCAGGGAGGCCAGACCTGGGAAATCTGTCTGTCCTGGTGCCAGAGCAGAGAACCTCTGAGATGGCCCTAAAGCACAGGGCAGAAAATCAGCTCCCCGGCTGGGGCTTGGTTCTCAGACTGCAGCCACTGCTGAGATTTGCCCCTTCAAATGGGGGGTTCCCTGCTTGCAAAAGGTGGTGACTGCTCTTTGCTTGCTGTATCCCCCTGTGGATTGATGTTTTTTCTTTTTTTTTTCTTTTTTTTTTTCTTTTCTGTCTGTTCTTTGCAGATTTACATGAGCCCTGAGGTCATTCTCTGCAGGGGCCATACGACAAAAGCTGACATCTACAGCATGGGAGCTACCATCATCCATATGCAAACCGGCATCCCGCCCTGGGTGAACAGATACCCTCGCTCCGCGTATCCCTCGTACCTCTACATTGTAAGTGTCCTTAGAAAAGCCAGGGCCCAGCTTGGATTTCCTGTTCTCCTGGGAAAGCTCCAGTCATATGTGCCATAGAGATTATATAATCTTTTTTTGCTTTGGAGGAAGGAGGGAAGAAGTGGGTTTTGGTCATTTAGGGGAAGACAGAGGCTGAGCTGGAGTCAGCTCTGTGGTTTGCATTACAGTTCACAGGCCCTGGTTTTCTTCAGGGACAGGGTTAGAACAGCGTGAAACCTGATTGTAAGAAGCTCATCTGCCCTCTGCACTTCTATTTTGCTTAGAAGTTACAGGTTAAAAACTGAAGCCAGGTAAATTTGTGTCCCTGCTTCATCCAGAGTGGTGCAGAAATCTGGTGAGTTACATTGCAGCAGGTTTTAGACGTGCCTGGACTTGTTCCAAGTTTTAAAATTTATGATAAAAATCTGATTTCAAAAGTGGATTTTGCCCAGTTATGTGTTGAGTTGTAATTGATCAACCCTGCTTAGAAAGATGGGGAATTTCCAGGCCAGGAACATGGCTATCTGTGACTTCCTCTCCCATTGCTCCTGGAATAGTTGTTTCAGGGGGTTCGTTTTTATCCCAACAGATACACAAGCAAGCTCCCCCCTTGGAGGACATTGCTGAAGACTGCAGCGCTTCCATGCGGGAGCTGCTGGAAGCGGCGCTGGAGAGGAACCCCAATCACAGGCTGTCGGCCGCGGAGCTGCTCAAGCACGAGGCCCTGCACCCGCCGCCCGAGGAGCAGCCGCGCTGCCAGAGCCTGGACTCGGCGCTCTTCGAGAGGAAAAGGCTGCTCACGAGGAAGGAGCTGCAGCTGCCAGAAAACATTACAGGTGATGGTACCGGCCTTACCTGCTGGGCACTTCTAAAATTTTACTTCGTGTCAGAGTTTGACTCGGCTAAGTTCTTTAGAAACAAACTCAGCGCAAAAAGCTGCTGGAAAGGGACCAATAAAAATCTCGGTCTGATGAGATCAGACCCGGAGCTCATTAAATATTGTGCAACCCCCTGCGCTGACTTCAGCAGGCCAAGAACTAGGCATCAGTTCTGCAGCTAGAGGAGGATTGACTCACAAGGAGGGAAAAAAAGGCAGTTAGGCAGGGCAGTTCTTTATGAAATACAGGTTGCTGTCCCAAAATTGCCTTCATTCTCCTCAGTACTAACACTGTTTTATCATTAACAGTGGTTTGCTTTTTAACAAAAACCAAAGCCCCAACCACCACTGTCAGCAGCAACAAAACCATCACTTTTTGCCTCCCTAAAAGCAAACAAACAAACAAAATACATGATTGTAATGATTCTGAGTGTCAGCAGTAGAACACAAGCAATTTGTCTTGAAAGTCATTGTAAGATGAAACGCAGGTGCCTTGTGCATTTCTAAGTTATAAAACCTCAGTGTATCTTCAAATAATATCAAGCCTAAGGGAAACTTCATGCCAGCAAGCTGCTGACAAGCTTCAAAATCCTTTTCTCCTGCTTCTAGAATTTATTGGGAGTGTCCTGACAAAAGGGATCTGAAAATGGACCCCAGACAAGTAGTTTATTTGCCTGTGATAATTATTTGAAAAGATACCTATACAAAATCCTTGATGCTCTAGTGCATAGTAGTTGTTGCAGTTGCAATGAAACCACTTAACATTTAAACTGCTCTAAATGTCCTTGTCCATAATGACATTGCTCTTATGGTTTTTGCCTTCTTGCGTGCGCAGTCCTTTGACCAGGACAGGCCATCTGAATCAATTCTTTTGAAAATGAAAGAATATTTGGCTGTTAAACTGGAACTTGAACATAGGTGCCTGAGATTTCAGCACACTCATTATAAAAGTATTCAGGGGAGTTTTACAGTTGCAAAGGTTTCCTCAGAACTCTCATGCTGCTTGCATTCATTTACAAAGAAAAGATATTTGTGACCAATAGTGTCAGATTTGTTCTGTAGTGTCACATCCAGCGACACAAAGGGGATATCTTTTGTCTAGATGAAAATTCCCCCATAATGAAGGGGAACTCTCTACTGGCAGAGAGCTAGAGGGGCTTTTTTCTTCTTCTTTTTCTTTTTTTTTCTCTTTTTTCTTGTACCAAACTCTCCTTTGGCACTGTGGCTCACTGAATGAGGCAGCTCTATCTAAGTGACCAAGTGTCCCAGATGATGGAGAGGTGGTTTTTTTTGTTTGTTTGTTTGTTTTTTTAATATCAAATAGTCTTTGTTTTTTTCAGTAGAAAGCTGCAGTTGTTTTTTCTTGCCTGGAGTTATGACTTGATTTGGAAATCTTATGTTTTATGTTAGAGGTTCATGTTTTCGTTAAAAATGAAACTTTCCAAACCACAGTTAGATAAAAGCAAATAGGAAGCCAGTTATCCCCCCAAAGTCTGCAATTATTAAACCAAATAAATGTAGCTATTTGTACAATATCAACGTGCTGCTTCTCCTTCTTTTTTAGATTCCTCATTGTGTACAGGGAGCACAGATGAGTCGGACCTGCTAAAGAGGCAAAGATCCCTCTACATAGATCTTGGAGCTCTAGCTGGTTACTTCAATATTGTTAGGGGACCACCAGCATTGGACTAAGACTGACTTGGTAACGGTTTCTGTCTGCAGGTCAGAAATGGACCTCTACCTCTAAAAACTGATTTTTAAGACTTGATTTTCCAATTTGTACATAAATATATTGTCATTGTAGTCTGTAAAATGTGAATAGTGTTAAATGCACAGATGATTAAGCTAAACCCTTCGGGGCTCTGATAAGCTGAACCCAGGCAACGATGTCTGTGTGTCTGCTGGGATCAACAAGAAAGCAGAAAGAACGCTGCTGGGAATATCTTAATCTGGGGAATCTTCCTTTGCTGGGCTTGCACTTTTGTAAGAATTATGATATATGCTTGCAGCTTTTGCCCTCAAAAAAAAAAAAAAAAGAAAAAAAAAAGAGCATGCGCTGTAAGATCTGGTCCATCTGAGCTATCCTTAGCGAAAAAAGTTCTTAGAAGTCTTTGACTTAACTCAGTCTATGGTCATTCTCAGAGTGAATCAAGACCTCCCTCAGGCTGAGCCAACTTGCTTCAGCTGACTCTACAGCCAGAGACATCTGGAGCCAAATGTACAGGTTACACGTGTTGTAGCTTTGCACCTTCCCTGGGCTGTCAGGGCTAAGTTGGGCCCTCTGCCCTCTTCTTCCTGGGCAGAGGGAATCCTTCGCTGGATGTTTTTTGCTTCAGGAGAAGCGTGGCAAGATGGTCAACACAAAGCAGGGCAGCAACTCCAGCTGCCCTCAATGTTACAGCTACTTCAAGGATGATTTGGGTAGCATTCAAGGGTAGACCAAATGTTATTCCCTATTGGTAACAAGGGGCAGACTCCAGACTCTTGCTTTTTAATGCTTTAAAACTATACACATTTATAATAGTCATGAGTGCTATGGTTTGGAAAGCGTGTCCTTAGTGACAAGCTGTGTTTATGTTCCTATGGAAATGGAATTACGTTGTTCTCACCGTGCCTCATACATTTGAAACATGATGTTTTGGATGATAGTAAAACTATGTAAACTGCATAGTTCTGTACATCCCATGGGATGAGAACGTAAACTTTTATAAAACTCCCCGTGATGCTTAGGATGACTCTTTTTAAGCATTTGTATTAAAATAGCATACTGTGTATGTTGTACACTGAATCTTTTCTGAAGCATGGTTTCTTTTTCATATATCTGTTATTTAATACTGCTCTTGTCTAACAAATGATCTTAAACAGGTGATTTCCAGTTTGACACTGGTATGGTCAGATGAATAAATCTAGCTCAGTGCCTTGTGATGTGGTCAGTCCGTTCTTTAAAGCAGCGTGGGGCTGTGGCAGCCTCCCCTGTCACAGCCCAGGTGCATCGTGTGCATCAGTCCACATCTTGGGAGCTGGGCAAGGGGCGGTGCTGACAGGTCTTCAGACTTGGGTCTCGGGTGATGAGTGTTTCTGACAAAATCTCTTGATCAGAACACGACAGGGATTCTGGGCTGCCTGAATGGTGGTGGCAGCTGAGGGTAACATGAAGCACTTCGGTCTTGCTGTAAAAAATCGTGGGAATGCCCCTCTGCTCCTGAATTTAGTACAAAGTCCTAGAAGAATAGCTGTTCTGAGGAAGGCAATGTAGGGCAGACCTCTTATGTTCAAACTGTCTGCAGTGATCAAGATATTCAAGCATCAGATTTTCAGTGTAGATGTTTTAAAGCAAGATAACACAGTGGTTTGGATACTTGCCTTTGCCTTGGGAGACTTGGGTTTAATTTTCTGTTTTATTGCTTCTGGTTTTTGGTCTTTAATGAGATTCATGGGATCAGTAGGAAGTGCCTTTTTCCAGTGACTTTGGATGATGGTGGGGTTAAAAGTCTGTGTTCTCCAGCTCCCTTCTAAAAACTAACAGGTGGCTGTTAATCACCAGTGGCTAGATATTATGCAAATGCTTACCAGCTGCCTAAATACTACAGCAGTGAGATCAGTGTAGGCTGCTAGAGAGCTCTTTCTGCTACCTGAAAAATGTTAAGATTTTTCTCATTTTTTTTCAGTCCCCTTTCTCTTGCCCTGCCCAGTTAAATGATTCAGCACAGAAATCGGCAAATGGGGACGGTCTCACTATTTAATATTCTTTCATACTCTACAGCCTGTCCTGTTTTAACTCTGTGGAAATTATACCTGGCCAGATAATACTAAGTAATCAGAGCTTGCACACTGCTGGCTAGGGGTGATAAGGTTTAAATGAGCAAACCAGTGGCTCTCTATAGGCAATTCCACAGTGTGAGTGGTACGAGGCTGCATGAGAAACGCTGCTTCAAACGTTTGGTGCACAATCAACAAATAGGTGTTCAGGCACAGTGAACAGCAGGCATTAACACTGATGTCAGAAACTTTCTCATAGCTGGGGACTGCTAGGTAGGCCAGCTGCAAGCAGTAGGGAAGCAGGGGTTTCTCCATGGATCAATACTGCCTGGAGCGTGTCCCGTACAGGGTGCCTCTTGTGGCGTGTAGGTAGGGAACCTGGCTGTGTGGGGAAGGAAGTGAGTTAAAAATAGCCTGTAAAGAGGAGGATTGTTCCTTAAGTTGGGTTGCCAGACTGCTGTGCACGTAGAGCAGTGGAGACGAGGGGAATGCCGGGAAGGGAAGGAAACAGGGTGGTAGGAAAGCTCTGCCACCACAAGGCCCAGTGTGGGGGCTGGCTCTGGGATTTTGCAATGATTGGTCTCGCTGTTAATTTCTTTTGTTATATAGTTTTATTTTTGCTAATTGTAAAGAAAGGCAAAGTGGGAGGAGAAACCTCGTGTTTTTGAGACACGTGGAGGAGGGAAAGCAGTCAAAGCTCTTTTGCTCCCTATTTCTCATGGCCACTGCTTCTTTGTCCCCTCCAGCCCCCTGCTTTTCTTTTCCATGTTTCCTATAGGAATCTAGTGTCTTAAGTACTTCTAAAATCAGGATCTTTGTTTCTAATCCTATAAAAATGTCAGTAAGCAAATACTGAAAGACCAAGAGGAGCAACGTACGTTAAAATAAGGGTTTTCTTGTTTGGGAGTTAGATGACCCTCTTAATCATCCCTCTTAACCCTTGAGAAAAAACTACAGCAGCAGAAATGCAGAGCAGTTAAACAAGCACTCGTCATGTGCAGCGCGGAGTTGATGGGGAGGCCCTGCACTGAGTATTAGCCCCTTTCATTTTGATCTTGAGAAAGCTGGTAGGTCACTCTTCTGGCTCCATGGCAGAAGCTGATACACTCTTGGGTAGAGAAAAGTTGCATATGTAAAAGAAACTCACACTTACTAATGGGGAAGACCTAGCTCAGGGGAAGTAAAAGGGGAGCTACAGGGCTCTGCCCATGACCGAAACTGAGAAGGCTTCTATGGCCGGGCACAACTTCCCCTGGCTCTGCACGGGCTGCTCCTGAGGCAGGTCCAGGCCCATGAGCGAGGACTTCCCTTCTGACGGCTCGTTGGCTTCCTGTGCTCGAGCAGGTAGGACTGAGCACGTTCTCCGTAACTAACCACCACAGCACCTCTGGGAGCTGCCACATCCACGGCTTCTCCTGGCCCAGGATGGTCTCTTTTTGAAACAGCCACCAACTAAAACTAATCAGTTGGGCAATGGCAAAACTGGCCCTTCACAAATTCTACACGCTGGCCAGACTCAGAACTTGGCACCACCTGAGAAATCCAGTGGGACCTTGGGAGCGGCTCATTGCCCATTATACAACGGGCACTGATACTGCTGTGGGCTGTCCAACAGAAACAGTGCCCTGCTGACTGATACTGGGGCACGGTGACTCACCGGGGAGGAAACGAGCCGAGGAGCCACCGCAGCTGCAGCCCCGTGCTCGGCCCGCGGCCGCCGACCTGCCATCTCGCAGCCCTCGTCTGAGTCAGAAGCCTGTGCGTGGTGACCAGAGGGGTGGCACAGGCATGTTATTAGCTGGACCGGTATTTGGAAGCAGGTGGCTTTGTTTGGAGATAGCCAGCTCTGTGGAGCAGACCTGCGAATGTTCCGATGTGGGCATGGAAGAGAGAGCATCCCTGTGTATTTGATCTCCATCATGCAATAGCACGACCACGGTCACCCATAAATGTGGTCTTGAATAGGGACCTTGCCACAAGCCTGAGGAAGGGCACTGCCACGGTGTCTATGCACAGTGGTTGGTGCCCCACATGCAGGCTGTAACACCAGGCGTATAACACCTCCTGAGAAATGAGAGGAGACAGGGAGAGACCTGGAGATGTGCGTGTGGAGCCTGAGAGAAGAGACAAGGTGTCTATTAAACTTCCTTTTGAATTGAATGCTCCAGAGCCACAGAGCAACCCGAGGCTTTTCCAGTCTGCTGGTAGCTAGAGAGTGTGACCGGGCAGGGAGGAGGCCTGCAGTGCTGATACCCAAGGCTGATATCCTTCCTCTTTAGCTCTCACTTGCAGTAAGCCAAGATTAACGTGTCTTCTTCCCCTCCCCCAAAAAGGAAAAATTAAAAAAAAAAACAGTTTGTACAAAGAGGAAGTCTTTAAGAGTGGTGTCTGAGTTCTCAGCATAGGCCTTTTCCCTTTGTCATTTATTCTCTCGCCCACGTGAACTGCAGGAGGGGAGGAACCGCTGGGTACAGCAAGCTCGTTGCAGAGCTCGTTCTGTACAAGCATGTTTCTCTATAACATGGTCATCGTGGGCACAACTTGAAGAACCTTTATTCATGAGTGGCATAAAGGTCTCTTCCAGTCACTGAGGTACCATGCCTTACTTTTTTACATAATAACAGTAGTTATTACATGTCTCAATTATTTAATCTGTTCTCCACATCCACGCCTGACAGCTGAAGCCCATTTGCTCTGCTGCTATTGGAGAACACGTGATATTTCTATATCACATGGACTTGGAAATGACGTGGATCTATATGTAAGTGGACTTGGAAATGACCAAGTCCCATCACCATCCCAGCTGCCCTCCCCTCTCCAATGCATGTTTGCTCTCCCTTGCCATCCCAGCCATTTCCCAGGCCCTCAGCTTGTGCCAGCACATCCTGGCCTTCCCATTGGCACCAATGCAAGGGGATGCTGGAGAAGGCTCTTTGAGGACATATCTTCTCCATATAAATGAGAAGGAAATGAGTGTCCCTCAAGCATCTTTACAATGGACTTCTTGCCAAAAGTGCAGTATTTCAGCACATGTTCATTTCCATGACCTAAATGATGATAAAAATTTTAGGGAAATTCTGATCACCTTTCTGCTTAGTAATATGCAATAGACATATCTGCTAACACAGGTAGGTTATATCTTTAAGCTTTGAAGCACGACTGTTATTGACTGTGGCATCTTTTCTTAGCCTTCCCTTTAACGCACGTGAATGATAAGAAGCAAGAAACAACGTGGCGGGAGGAGGCCTCGAGGTGTGTCT